AATTGAGTCAGAAGGAGAATGTGAGTAGTGCATTAAGATTCTCTTGACAAAAAATATCTGAATAGTCATTATTAAAGTTAAAAGAACATATAATTATTAATGCCTTATACATTTACATGGAATTATACAAAAAAATATATTCATTTTTTAAAATTTTTCTATAATGTTGATTTTCTTTCTGATTTTCTCGAAACAAATTATAGTATGGGATTCATTTAATATCAAAATTGACACATATGGTTAAATTGTTGTATATTTTGTATATTTAATTATTTCCATAATTAATAATTATCACTGGTCGCACAACAACTGTGGCTACCAACGATTAGAGTCAAATTGATTTTTGACTACTTAACAAATTTAATTTTTAACGAACGATATAGTCATACTATTATTTTCCAACTGATTTGTAAATACTTTGCTTAACTGTATTAATTTTTGGCATCTATTCATAAATTAATAATCTAATGTTGGAGTCAAATTCAAGACAAATGTTGAAATTAGGTTATGATTTTTTTCATTTTAATATCCCAAAAGGTAAAAATATATTTTATCTGTTTAAATTAGTTTTGATAGTTTTTAATGAACGATTGAAAATATTTCTTACTATATATAAATGAAAAACTTTGCTTACATTGAAAATTGATTTGCTATTATTTGCTAACTGTTTAGAAGCTTTTGGAAATCATTTGGTAAACTATTAACTCGGTTATGACGTGAGTGGGCTGAATGCTCGGATGTAAATATTTATTATGTATATTATACAAACATAAAGTTAATATTAAACTACATAACTTGTGAAATATTATGGTATAGTGTGTAGCTATTAGTTATTATTTATTAAAATGTATAGGTACATGCAGACGGAAAATATAAAGACAATTATTAGTGTACCATTATTTCATTAATTTTTGGATACATTGTTCCGTGATTTAATTAATTTAAGATATTCAATTCCCACTTAAATTAATCTATTTTAATAAAAAAATTATAAGGCATATTAAACAACTCATTTTTGCACTACGTAATGTGCAAAATATCAGATGATGTGTTTCCATAATGATACGTTTTTGATAAAACTTCAGCTAATCTTTTAAAATGAAAATTATTTTTACTAAGGTTTAACTCGAAAAACGTGACCAAGAATAGCAGATTGTATAATTTTATTAAAATTATACATCCTTTAAGATTTAAATGTTTATTTTGATTCATTTTAGTATTTTACCAGTCATTATTTATATTTTTTCAATGTTATTATCGTGAGAACATTGTGAGCAAAGAGGAAAATCGATTGCACCTATTATACTTTCCTATATTGCTGTATTACGATTCAGTGAAAGAAGAAAACAATTCGAGATTAAAATTGATCCAGTTCCGTTTCCTTAAGGTTTTGATCTTTTCTTTAGTTCATACACCGAATTACCTAGTCCCGTAAGCTGATATAATGTAATATCTACACGAAACTGACGATTTGATTCGATTATTTTGTTTCATGTTTGTTAGGAGAACATTTTTAAGGAATTCAGTGTAGGCAATATATACGAAACTCTGAATGTAAGCTGTGAGCTGTGTACATCATGGTCATTGGTCAATTGCAGTGTGCGTGCAATCATGTAAATAGGTCATTGCAGCACTCTCGCAACTGATCTTATAAAAATCGAAAACTTTTATTATATCTTCACTCTGTAATGCCATGTTATCAGTGAAAAACGATCGGCTAGACAGTCGCGTGCCTAATGTATCGTAGTGTGTAAGTCATATTATTATGTTGATACATCAATAATATAAATAATTATGGTATCAAACCAGATAGTAAACAATAAATATTCTTATTGTGAGTAAATTCGATTGATTAACGAACTTTCCCTGTGTCAAATTGATAATTATTACTAATGAATTTGTTTTTTAAAACGACACTTTTTGTAGGTATTATTTTTAAAAGCCCACTCTAAAATCCGGTAGTTACTTTTTAGTTAAATCTATAAAATTCAGGTTTACAGTTTAGTCCCCAAAGACTGATGAAAATTATGATCAAAAACACATGCTATTGTAAGTATGGACATTGAAATCAAAAATATCATGTGGCCATGCTCTCGTGCAGTATAATGAAGTAAATGTTTTTAGACTTAAATATAACATTGTGTGTGTAAATATATTTTACTAGTTCCAGACTAAAATCAAACACTCATATTGCAATGTATTTTTTTTTTTTCATGCAATATTTTTTTGGTGTTTTACTAAATTAAATTAAGTAGTTGTCAATTAAAAATAAACCAAATCATAGCAGTTTCATAATTTAATTAATACTAATAACTGTTTATACAATGATACATAATATTATCCGTATACATTATTGACTGTAATATAAACATTATTCATACAAAAAATTCCGCAAAGTTTGACATTCGTTGGTACATATATTTTAGTTTCCGTGATTGTGTATTGATAATGGCACTTTATTCATTAAAACCTCTTCGTGCATTTCAAAACTGTTTCTGAAAAGAAAAAACTCATTGTTGAAAATCAAATTATTTTTGAGTCGAATATAATATAGTATTTATAAGTCTCTTAACGAAATCATCGCTCAGCATGTCTCAAAAGTTGATTTTGCTGAAGATATTATTCTATTTGGGCCAGTCATATCATTATAATATAATCACTGAAGACTGAATGGCTAAACAGTTGCACATCACTTATTTTAAATATCGTGTGAGTAATATGCTAATTGAGTAACATTTACTTTGAAAGTTTGAATTAACCAAAAATTGAAGTTAGGCTAGAAACTCTAGTTTCAGGAAATTTAAAGTAAAGGCTGCCCTTTGATTAACATTGTAGTGTGCGTTTTAATCTGGATTCATCAGAATCGAGCTTAATTACTGATAACAGTACCTGAAATAGTATAATTATCAATGATCAATGATCAAATTATATTAGGTGGTAATTATAAGTTAGGACAAGGTCACACTCCCAACTCTCGTTATCGAAGCAGAGACGTAACGCTATTATGTATTTCCATTGCCCTATAAACTAGTCGCTAGGGTGGGTGGACAATTTACCAAACATAGTCCCATGGAAACATCCACCTCATATATATTCTACTTAAATAATGCATTTATTCAAATTATGATTTTTGGAACTTTTGAGTATATTTAAGGACAGTATTTTCAAATAATTCTATTTTTACCATTTAAAGAATGTCATGGAGTGGTACAAAATCATTTTTTATGAATTAAGAACTACTCTTTTTTCTGTTAATTGTCAAGCAAAAGAATTTATTGAAAAATAGATTGATGCATCCAAATCGAAATGTAAACGAGCAAGTTCCTGAATTATTTAAAAAATTAAAATGGCACAAACTACTGTTAAACTAACAGTCTAAATTATGATAATACTATGATAATATAATGACTTGAAAGTTATATTGATTTACTAACAGTTTATAATTCATAAATTAATAATTAATTCTAGATTAAATATTACAATATATCTTATATTTTATGTGAAACCATTATTAAAAACTATTATGTTATTCTAAATTCTTATATAGTAGGTACTTGAAGATTAAAAAGATGAAGATTAACTCAGGATGTCGTTAAAATAAATTTGCAGTAGAAAAAGGGGGGGGGGGTCATTTGAAAACAATTAAAGTTTGTACCGGTTAGAAAAGGAAGGAAAGTCCAGAAAAAAATTAAATAATAAATGTGAACACATGTGCCTATACTCTACTCCTAATTAGTAATTAATAATTCATAAATTACTATAACCAAAATAGGCAATTTCATAATATTAAGATACTCAACTAATAAGAAACTTTATTTTTACCAATTTATTCAATGAACAATTTAAAATATAAATAATTTTATGCCTGAAAACGACTCATGCTTAACTATTATTTATATAAAAAAAAAACAACTTGTAATAGTAAAAAAAAATTAAATATAAATATTCGAACTCGTCTATAATACATAATATACAGTATTATAAGTTCTAAGTCAAAAAACATCGGGGGTATGAGTAATAAGTAAACACATCTTAAGTATAGGTACACGCATACTATAATATTATACTACACTTATACATTTTTAATTATAAATACTATATTTATACAAAAATTACACATGATTACAATTTATGACATTATTTGAATTAAAATATATTATATTTTGTTATAGGTATACGCCACAAGGTAGTTACTAATTAGAAGTGGTGTATACATATTGTGTTCACATTTGTATTCAATTTTTTTGGTTTGCTTTTTTCCGTTTTATTTTTGTCTTCGATTCGTTTGTGCCATCACAGTAGTTGAATTCAAGTAGTGAATACTTGAAAATAGGTGTAGCAGAATAGGTATACTTAAATAGTCAAAAAGAATCCGAGTATTGGAAACAATATAGGTATATTATTTTGCACAGTCTTCATATGGGTCCCTGCTTATTATTATATTCGAGGAGTTCGAAAAACCTAAATATTCGTATAAACGCATAGTCGAAGACGCATAAAACCGAGCACGTTCGGTGCACTCAGCAGTAGGTACCCTGTACACACGGACAACTATTATGTGGCAGTGCCATGTCGCACATAGCCCGCAGTGGCGATAATAATATTACATAATTCCACCCTGCCGCGAGGCGATTCTCTTCGGACGTTGGCTAGCGCCCCGCAGTGGCGACGACGACGACGGCGGCGGCGGCAGAGGCGACGATGAGAGGGGAGATGGCGGTGGCGGTGGAATTGTGCTGGCGCCGACTGCCACCGACCGTCTGCCGGCGGCGGCGGCGGCGGCACGCTTGGGCCACACGGTCGCCGCCGACGCCGACGACGCGCCGAGANCGGACGTTGGCTAGCGCCCCGCAGTGGCGACGACGGCGGCGGCGGTGGCGGAAAGGGGGGCGCTAAAAGGGGCGGCGGCGGCGATGGCGGCGCATTGCTGGCGCCGACTGCCACCGACCGTCTGCCGGCGGCGGCGGCGGCGGCACGCTTGGGCCACACGGTCGCCGCCGACGCCGACGACGCGCCGAGACGGTTCTCTGTTGTTGCGTTGTGCTCGCGCCGTACACTCTGTTGCTTAGTGCACGGGACGACGACGGCGGCGACGGCCGACGCGAACGGGCACGACGCTTTTTGATGATGATGGTATATCAGTTCGTCGTGGTCCGCTACTACGCCGCGACCGTATCGGCGGTCGCCTGCACCGGGTGATAGAGCCGGACCTGCAGATCGAGGAGCCGCGCAAGCGGATATTCGGACGACGCACACTGGACCATATAACCGCATCGGCGTAGTATAATAGTATAACGGTAACCGGAAGTCCGGTACACGGTCGCCACGCGCCGGAAACGCGATCTCCGTCGTCGACTCGGAATACAGGTAGGCGCGACCGTTTGTCGTATACCTATAATGCAAATATTTAGTACCTGAGTAATTATACCTAGGTAACGGATTGACGACATTCGTAGGTATAGGTATGCTCGCTGAAGATGTAATTTTAATACCGATTTTTTTTTTTTTTTTGAGAAGACGAATTCGACGATTTTGTTACAACCAACCACGTGTAGTAAAACACGAAATTTCTTGTTGCATATTTTGAATTTTTACTTCATTTTGTTATTATTGTGTTTGTTCTGTTATTTGTGGTGCTATTTGTATATTAAAAGAAAGCAATTATATTTATCTCATCATTATTCATCAGATGTACAAATGTACAATACACCTACATGACACATTATCACATGTACTAAAACTAAGATATTTGTAAACAAAAATCTTCTTTTCATCTTTTTTTTTTGTACTAGTTTTGAGTTCATAATATGTGTATCCTGTGAAATCATTTTAAACGATTTTTTAGTCAATTTATCGTTCATGATATGTTGCTACACATATTATATCCCGTTTAAAAATGCTAATTATTTATTATCTATTTTGTCAAAATGTTTAGTGCATGCTCAAGTTCTCATATTAATATTTTCAAGACCATAATATTATCATTACAGCTTATTATTACAGACATATTTGATCATTCACAAATAGCACGAGCCGTAGCTGCAGCTAACTCGACACGCTGGTTAGAATTACTACAAAAATCTCGTATAGGCCCTAGTTTGTGGTAAAAATACGACGATTATTTTTCTAGGATCTATGGTCTGAGACCATTTCATGAAGAAATATTTCCACATGGAACTGAATTCAAATCACAGGAAACATATGTTGCCTACACGTATCGGAACTTTTTGCACGACCTAAACTCAGTATCTTTATTATATATAGTTGGCCTTCGCTGTTTCCTCTACTGCTTCGTCGGTGAAACGGTCGTTACTCTCAGGCTCTCCCACAGCATTCTCGTGGTAGAGTGTTTTTGATTTTGTCCGAAAATGTCGAAAAAGACCGTAATTTTTCGGTTTTGGTGGTATCGTCAATAGACCACCGTACGAAGCATATAGGTAGGTAAAAATAATATAAAACTACGAGCGCTGTGCGACCAATAGCACGGCCGAATTACGTGATCCGAAAGCCAAATTTCGCCCCAAATAAACACTTTTTTCCCACCCCGTTCGCACGTATAAATATTTATTTTCTTCTATCGTTATCCCGAATTATTCAAATTCGACATGTTGGTCGTGTTCTCGAAAAATTCCAATTCTATACACATATCTCACGCTCAGAATATAATATATATTTTATTTTTATCTGAGAGCGTCGTGCGCCTATTCCATAAAAAAGTTTTTTCAAATAATTTTCTAAATTATAAATATATTTTCTTTATATAATATTATAATAACATCACCATAAGACCTCATAATATTATTATCATCGAAATGTTCACATAGCCATGTCTGCTGTTAAATCTATCATTGCTTTAGAACATATTCCACTAGAATGTACCTATTAAGGCACCGTAAACAATATTACGTATAACTTAAAAATAGGATTTTAGACTTAAAGTACTTTATTGTACGAATATTTAAGCATTTTATTTCTACCTAGCCGATATTATATTTTAAATATATAGGCGTTGTTAGTTTAGAGTTCTTTTTTTTTATTATTGGAAATAATAATATATACTTATAGAAACCTATATTGATTTTCGTTTATTATTTATAAGTTTCTAGTGTACAATATTACACATTACAAAATGTCGACGATAGCGGCTTTGAAGGTAGTGATGAGAATAATATACTTAAACGAATTTAGATGTAACTACTAGATACAAATATGCACTATAATTCAAAGTACTTCTAAAATTATATCCTGTCAACTATTACACAATCGACCCTACTGTTTTTGGCTATGTATTTTTATTTCCAACCGTCGATGATTTCATACTATATGGTCTACTATCAAAAATAAACACTCCCACAGATAATAATAATTTTAAGTACGAAACAATGAATAAAAAAATGTCTTTAAAAACCTTTTCAATTTTTTTTTCATAAATTATTATGGACATATTATTATCACATAGTTTCTTTCAAATGTTTGAGCACTTTTATATAAAAACAGAAAGAAAATGCTTAGTAATAGTCATATGCGCATTATACACACATCACGATATCTCGATCATTTAGTATTAACAATACGAGTAGTTATACGTTTATTACGTTTACTGAAGATATTTATTCTATGGAACATAATACATTTTAATGGTAGTGTGTTAGGATACTATAAAATAGAGTACTATAAACTTAATCGTATTTAACATAAAAGTTCTTGAGCCATAAACAAAAAAAATCAATGCAATATATAAATTATTTCTTCACGTTGTCCAAACATAAAATTAAAACATCATATAATGTTATTATATTACAATTTTATAAGACAAGGAACGAATTTAAAAAATGAAAAAATGTAATCAGAGTTGTGTAATTATATTGTAGAAAACATTAGTCAGTTAATATTGTGATAAGTATGTCGTACATGATTAATTTTATATTTTTTTTACCACGTGTTTTATCTTTTAATATATTTTTTGAATTTCGATAATAATATATTTAAATACATTATAATACGTTTGTTTGATCAAAAAAAAATTCTTTCTTTTATGTCACCATTCTTATATTTGGATAAATTAGATCTTCTAAAAAATGTTTGTAGGTCTTAATCAATACAATAAATGTACATTGTGCATATCACAATTGATATCTTAAAGTACTTTTATTTTATATTTTTATTTCATTCGACATTTTAAAATAACTGACTTAATTATAAAATTATATTATTTTACTATTCACTTAATATGGAATTCAGTGCTAAAATTCTCCTACATTTTTAATAACATTATATGTTGTAATCGTAAATATTTTGTACCAAGGTTTTTATTTTTGTGTTACAATGTGCCTGTGAAAGTTCAAGGATGAATAAAGTACTGATAGTAGTCATTATACTATAATGGCTGTAGTATGTTCTTGCAGTAAATATATGAACAACTTACTGTTTTAATATTATAAAGTATTTAAGTATTTATAATATTCGTTATAATATAGGTGGAAAAATCCTTTTAAATATCGTTGAAGAAAAAAAGTTTAATGTATAATAGTAAATGTAAAAGTTTAATGTATAAATAGTATTATTTTTTAAAGCAGATATCAGCATAATATTGTGGTATATAGCATGAAATGTATCTATACATTTCGACTTATGATTAAAAACAATTGTATAAATCATTATTGAGAATGTATGTATTTGACATTCATCACCTTCCAGTACTGTTACTTGTTGTAATATAATGACTTGATGATATTTATGTGCCAATTTAATTTAGATTTTTAGGTTAAAAAACATAAAATATATTTTATTTAGACTTTCATGGCATGGTTTGCTGTAGTATCATGTACCTACTTGCTATTCATGTGCAATGTGCATGTCTTGTGCAGTTTTTATAACGCGGAAGTCAGGACATCATAAACTATGTCACTTAATAAAATTAAATGTACAAGCATGAGTGAAAATTCAAACACAAATTGTACCTTTGGTATTTTAAAAATCATATTATTTTTGTTTAGAAATCAAAATTTTCTAATTCAAAAACTCAATATCCCGTTATCCTTGTCACTAATCAAATGTTTATTTATTAGTTAATACAAATTGTAATCGTCTTTTTGTACTTATATACATTTTAAAATTACAGATGCTCTTGGCGCATCTAGATGGGGTCTCAAGAGAGCTTAGCCACATTTCAATAACAGTAATATCGGCATTCGGTAATATTTAGATTTTGATATTTTTAATAAGTTCACAGCAATATTTTTGAATTTGATTCAAGTCTGCATTGATAGTAATTATAAAAGATCCTAATACCTTATAGCTTGTATAATTTTCTTTAGTAAATAATGGACGTTGTGGATAATTATATAAACACATAAACTGGTGTTCTTGATAACATCCAGTCAAAGTAACTCATTTATTTTATGTTGTTTATACTGCAGCTCCAATGCTTCGCAGCCTCTGACATTTTCGTTTGCTGATTCTAAGTCTGCTGGATCACATCTGAATGAAAAATCGTTGCAGCCCATACCATCGTCTGAAACTCACCAAATTCGCAGTCAGTCTTCCTTCTCTTCTATTATTTTCACCATTTTCTAAGGTTTTTTCCTTCTTTTGTTTGTCCGACACCTGTTCGCATACGGTTAAGAGCTCTCCGAATTGTCCATTTATTATTGCGCTTCAGCGATAATTTCGAATGGCTGGCTGTTTGTATATTCCATAATATTCTTTTACTTCCTGAGGTCTGTTATTTATTTTATTAGTACAGTACTATACTCTTTCTGGTTTTTTCCGAAAGATTCAAATTCGTCCGTCAATTATTTAAGATAGCGATTTGTCAACGTACATCATTGCTAGACATGCGTGACAATAGATATAATTATCTAATTGATTTATTGATGTTAGATTTAGGAATCTTATCATCGTGCGTTCGGTTTCGTACCTATTTATTTCGTGTGTACCTACTTATATACCCTATACCGGATATGCATACAAGGCCACAGAGAAGCCCAGGAAGAGTGCTGGGATTACAAATGTTTTGGGATGACCATCCTGGGCTTACTAGTGTATGCATTAAAACATTTCTGATGCATATTTTTAGTTTTACTGCAAAACCGTGCTACTTCAATATGACTGACCTAAAACTGACCCAATAGGGCGATGTCTATAAATATTTGAGATTGGTATGTGACTCCTTCCCACGTAAATACATGATGTTCATTGCAGCTTTCTAGTCAATCGTCAAATTAAAAGGTGGAATAACGCACATATCTGTGTCTTTGATGAGTTATGTGCCTTTGGTCACTTATGGATGAATGACTTAATTTTATTTGTGCATAATTTATTATTTTTTTCCGTCTAGTATAATATAGTATAATATAGTATCGGTTCTTGGATATACTGGTTATGGGATTTATCGAAGAGCTGGGTGTCGTCTTTAGTCTTTTCTTATTATTGAAAATGAACACGAAGGCTAAAGAAAATTTGATGTCTGGCGGTATTCCTATAATATTCGCATTAAATTACCAACATTGTATAAATTATTAACTTCGAATAAATTGTAAAATTATATTATTGGGAAATAAACTAAGATAGTTATTTCGTTGATTTTTCTTAACGTTCGACAAAAATATTAATATAGGAATATTATTAAAAAAAAAAAGTTTCTACGATAATTCATACATGATGTACTCGTATTTGCAATATTTTAGTATTTTCAAAATAGGACAAATTATGATACTACATTATAATTGTACCATCGGTTTCAATTTGTGCTCATAATTTTACATAAACTATATCACTCAATGATGGTCAATTATGAGATGAAGTGTATTACGTATTAGTAATTTCTGAATATGTCTATTTAAATGATTATCATTCGATTTATTATTTAATAGTGCTATAACAGTTAATATAGTCTAATTAAATATTTCGATTAAATTGTGGTATTGATGATTTCATTTTCATTTATGTAAATTATATTTTGTAAACATTTTAAATAAACACACACACACACTAAATTAAACCATATTAATAATCAAATTTCAAATTATATGACTTGATTTAAAGTTTGAACTTCGTATCATGAAAACCAATCGTTTATCCATAATGCAGAATATAACTTCACCTATTTGTTGTGCATCTTGTAGATTTTATATTCGAACACAAACACTAAACGCAATACTTGTAGTTATGTGTGCTCAGAGATTCGTGTTATTGCTTACTTGTTGACCGTATACATACATCGTTTAATTATTTTAGATTCTAACGTGAAGTGAATAATACATCTCTATATCCCATGCACGTGTAAGGCGTGTATGCGATTAAATAGATACCACCAACAATCGATATTTAAAAAAATACTTGAAGGGACAACACGGTCTGCTGGAAATACGCGATTTAACATAGCGGAATCATCTCACGGTGCATGAGAAATTCAGATTGCACTACGTAGGTACCTCCCCATTGACCCACCTCTTGGGATTTATTGTTATGTTGTCGGGCCCTGGTTGATGTAGATTCGAATACGGTACAGCGGAGACTTGTGCGAGTGGAAGGAAACGAGGAAATCGGCAGACCCATATATTTCTTTACAAGCGTGTATACGACGGTGACGCCGACTTGTAAATCGGGTTTATACGTTAAAAATGTATATTGAATTACTCAATTAATTTTAGTAACCAGATCGAGATTCGAGTTTGGATGGAGAGCACTGCAGTCACCGAATAAATCGCATAGTTGAATAATTCAGTTGACATTTATTATGCATTGTAATATTGGGTCTTTCCCAACATCCCATTCTGGTCGTAGTAATTAGATACCAGACGGATTATTATTGTTGACACTTAATTTTCTCCAGTACACAATATTTTATCGAATAGAACGGTTTTTGGAACGATCGCCTCATTGAAAATTAATACGACGTTAATTGTATGTATTTTGTTTCACTATTTTCAGCTACAGCGTGAAACCATTAAGTAAAATTATATTGCCATACAATAACACGAACGTTTTGGGAACAAAATAACGTAATATTAAACAAATTTACAACGTATTTTAAATAAGCAATATTAATAAATAAAACATTATGCATATGGTACATATTATGTAGGTACCTAGATATTAAAAAAATATACAGTTGATAATATTATGAATTACTATTATTTTTTGTTGAGATGCATGCAATGATAAGAATGTTGAAATACAATAATTGTGCAATTTCGAAACCTATTTTCAAATGTTTAAACTCCTGTTAATCAACTGTCCTAATTTCGAAATATTTTTTTTAGTCGTAACGATGTATTTTGATGTCGATCCATGTAATGGATAGCATCGAGTTCACCTCTGAAGTACAACTATGGTACGGGTGTTATTGAAATAAATAATAATAATATGTATAATTAACCACTAACGATAATTTTCTGATATTTTGGAAGATTTTTTTTAGTCAAATACCCACGGCCTTTTATGGTGGCATTTTGTCTAAAGTAACCATTCAGGGCAGGTTGACTTCTTAACTCTTGTTGATGATATTTTCATATTGCACGCATCATATGCGAAACGCAAATGATACCTTTGATATTATATCGTAGACTCCTATAAATACGCGATCTACAAGGAAGGTGCATAATATTACTATTATTGTACGGTATTACGCGCGCTTCCGGTCTCTTGTTGCTCGCCGGCGCGTGTTCGTTTATTCATCGAATTGAATAAATATAAAACGACGACGGAGACGGAGAAAGGGAAAAAGAGACCAAGAGAAAAAGAAATAATAGTCAATCCGAATCGTTTGGACCACGTGCACAGAATATTATTGGTAAACATCCGTAGGTATATAGGTACACCTCTATAACACGGCGGCGAACAACGACGACGACCGTAATTTTTTTTTTTTGTATTTTTTCCTACACGTTTACGTATTATATTAAATTCTATTATACTTCCGTCTTGGAGCATATACGGGACACATAATATTTTGGCCATGCACGAGTGTCTGTAAAAGGCTCCCCACCTGACACAGCACAGGTCCGACATATAATAGTTAACCCCTGCACACTCTGCGCCGTATAATACGTACTGTCACACACACACACACACATACACATACACACACACACTCCCCAACTACAGGATATAATATATATTTTTACACGAGACACAATACTCGGTCACCACTTTTACGCCCACCCCCCTCCCACCACGACCATACCGTTTTGCCTGGCCGAAAACTTTGGTAATGTGGAATTTTACGCTCAGCGATTCAAGTCCGCGTTTTATTTGCACTTTTTCCCAGTTCGGGATTCTCCGTGCCTCGCACCGGTTGCCGCGTGGAGGTAGTGTGGGTTACGTACGTCGTATTAAAATAACGCTTCGAATGCATTTCCGTATTTATTTTTACGACCGAGCCATCAAAACGTTTCGCATAAACGAATTATACACACACATTTGTACGGAAAAAAAGTATATTATTCACGAACAAAATAGAACGTTGAGATGGGTAGGTACTACAACTATAATATAATAATACATATAGGTACCTAATATCATATAATTACAATGGCATCAATGCAGTGCAGTCAGTAAATCGTAGAATTGAACATTCTGTTATACAATACGACAATAATAATAATAATAATAATATGTTAATGATTCGTCCAGGTTTCGAGCGCATAATACCTACCTATGATATAATAAAAAAAAAAGGTTCGAATGGCGTAATTTGAAAACTAATAACTAGATTTTTTTTACGATTCGTATTCAACAATTGTTATTGTATATGATTATTACGTCCCTGAAATATATTTGCATTTTTTCAGCACGTACTCGACTGGTATCCGAGCTGAATTTATTGCAACCAGGAAGTAGGGAAAAAACCGAATTTCACAAAATAATTAAATATTTATTTGTGACACTCCAGATTTTGTTTTGCATAGAGCTTGATTTCTCTTGAGATTTGATTTTTAAAATAGAATGCATGGATCAACACTTTTAAAATATTGATGTAACCGAGTTTTTAATATTCTTTGGCGAATAATTGCAATTATGAAGCTGAACAATTGTAATTCTATAATATTATTCGGATACATTTACGTACTTATATCAGGTTTGTTTAGTAAATAAAAATATTTGCTCAAAATACTATAACGGCTTCAAAAGATATACCTAAATGGAAACATATATCATAAATATTTAAAAAAATAATAATAATTCCATGTTCTGCAGGGTTTTTATAGTTCACGAGATATACTTTAACCACATTTTTTGCACATTTATTATCAGGTGAATATTATTTCATACAAAATTACTATCCAACTACATTATTATTACTAAATATGATTATCGATATAAACAAAAAATTGTATTTATTTCAGGGACAATACCTACATTGTGGACTGTGGTATATAATACGATTCGTATATTTTTTCAAAAATGATCTAATTTGATTTGAAAAAATTTACATTTATTGATTTATATGCCCAAAATAGATATTAATTCAATATAATATGTGTTGTTTTTCAACTTTGAAATTTTATGGCAGAGAAGAATTACTAAAAATTGTTTGTATTTGAGAAATATTTGTAAAAGTCTGAATTAAGTGGGGTACTACATTGTAAACCCTTTCTCGGAGAATACTCGTTGGCAATAATTATTTAAGTGGTCAAAATATTTCGTTTTGCGGTCTTCTACACCTAGCATTTCATTTTGATAAAAAAAATGTTTATTTTCTAAGTAATTTAAAAATATTTCAAATATTGAGCTATAGCCCGTTCTAACTTTTTTTTATAGTATTTAACTATTTATTGTAAATTAAGTTCACTTGGTATTTGCTACAAAATACATACGTGACTATTATAGAATTTAAAACATATGTTTAGAAAACATTGACGAAAAGTAGTGAACAAATTCAGAAAGTATAGCGGAAGCGCATAACATCATCTATTTCACCCAAAGAGTTGATTTTATACATTTTTAAAATATAAATCATTTTCATAAAAATTAATTACATATTTATCACATTTATTACATATATATCACAGAACTTAATTTCGTCAGATAACTTTGCACCATATCACTTAAAATAGTATTCATTTTTTTAAGCAAATTTTTTTTAGAAAACAAAATATTTTAAGTAAATTCATAATGTTTATTTCTCTTTAAAATACATAACTACTTTAAAATATAACTATTCTTGAATCATAGGATTCACACTACGCCACTCATAATAATATAATTTTTAATATTTATTTTAGATCTTCATTTTTCTTCTAAATTCATTTCTATATAAGTTTGTTTAGCAGTGTTAGGAGTATAAATTTCAAATTATACCTTTACTTGTGCAATTTTACTAAAAGGATTGCGTGATGATGTTGACTGTCAGAGTAAAAATTAGGTCAAATAGTATGAAAAAGTCGAGGAAAATGTCGACAGAAAATAGTTCTACTATTATTACTATTGTTCGTTGAAATAAAAACTATTTTTAACTAATATTAAGTACAAGTACAATCATGTATTTTTTAATAAAATCATACTGGTTGACTAAAAGAATGTATTGTATTTAACATAAAATAAAATAAAATAATACCTACAGAATCATCTATCAAAATGTAAAATAAATAATTATTCTTAGACAATACTGTTGTCGACAGAAGTTCACTACTCCATATTAGAGATATAACAGTATTATTATTCGCTCAGGTTGAACATGAAGGTACATGAATTACATAATCTAAGAGGAAGACGATAATAACATAACTTTATTTTTAATTATTACGTAAAAAAGCAAGAGGTTTGATTATTCAATTAACTTTTTTTATGTTAAATTTCACATATCCAAGTATAAGCAAGAACTTTGGATATTTAATTATTTTTTTTTATTCATCTCATAAATTCTGTAACTATGGCCATTAGTTGCAATTTAAATCGAGTTACAGTATTTACAGTTTTTACAATTTTTTTTTTAGATATTAAAACATTAAAAAACTATGGTTACATTGTATATGTATACACCTAGTTTACATATTATTATTAGATTAAACTGTAAAGACCTGTTGATTTCAAAAATTGTATCATCTTAGTGTTCTCCTCAGTTTTTGGTCCTAGTGCAATGTCAAGGACCGTATCTAAGCGAAGATTAGTCGATCTTCTTCATATTTGAGGCATTCGGTTGTAATATGTTTCACTGTTAATTGAACACCACAATGGGGGGGTGGGGGAGGGTCTTCGGTCTTCCTTTGCCATTAGGTACCCTTGAGTAAGTTGAGTATGTCCTATTCGCAATCGGTCTGGTACACCCTCTTCTTTTTTAAAAAAAAAATTATTTCTTCCACCTGATGATAATTTTTTTTATTGCGTTTAGTTTGGTGGTTCGTTGTTTCCTTGTGTTGAGCCATTTATTATTGGTTATATAATTTATGCGTGCCTTTTAAGATCGTTGTAGGAGTGTCCTAGAATAGTCTTAAATTCAGAATTTGTGACGACGATCTTGGCCTGGTTATAGACTAGTTCATTTCCTTCAATGTCGATGTGCTCGGGGACTCACGTGAGAGTGATTTGTTTGTTTTTGGATAAGACTTTTTTTTAACTTATTCAGTGTTTTTATTGTGATGTCTCTGGGTTTGAACTGGTTTTGTATGCTATCGAGTGTGCCCACAGGGAGTCGCTGAATATTTTATGGTCGGAATGTTCATAGTCTATGATTGTTTTAATCATAGATACTCGAGTATCTCTATTGCCTTAGCCATATATTTGAAGGGAGCATGTGTTTGGTAACTTCAATATTATGTTTTGGTTTTTAAGTATTATTGCGATTCCTACTTGGTCTTGTGTCTTAGAGGCATCTGTGTAGACTTCTTGGTATTCATTTTAGTTTTATAATATGCTTAGGAAATATCTTCTGTATATTTCTGGTAGAGTTTGTATTTTTTTAAAAGAGCCGAGTTCTATATTTATACCATACGTGGAAGTCCTTGGGGTTATGGTCAATTGTTCTCATACAATTAATTGATCCAAATTAATACTGTTTTTTCCTAGTTCATCATATAATTCAGTGATTTCATATGACAGTGGGATGTTTTTTGATATATAGGATCTAATGGTGTATTTAAGTGATACGTCGTTCCTTTAATATTGTTATTTTAATTCATAACGGCGTGTTGACTTCTCCTTTGCGTGTTCCAATTAAAACTATATTTTGTATTACTAATTTTAATTAGTATTTAATCGAGTAATTAAATTTCTGTTTAGTTCGTCGAGTATAACATCGAGAATTACACACTTGTGATCGTTAGTACTCTTTTGTAATTATTTATATACACATAGACACTTTAATATGCTTTATTAGGTATGAATAAAATACGAACTACACTGCACTACGTTTATAAATTATATCGGAATAAGTTATTTATCGGTAGGTACCATACAACTTTGATTAGTTACACGAACGCCGGAAAGGTCGATCGTAAAATAGAATTTGTGTTGCACATGAAATGCAAAACTGACTATTTGTAACAGACACTTTGCCGTTGGTTCTAGGGCATTATCTTTACGTAGATTCCCGCGTTGAATTTTTAACGCATGTGGTTTTCTACCAAATTTTACGACCCCAGATCATATAGCCGTAAAGTATAAAGTATCCCAAATTAATCCATTTAAATGCGAATTTTAGTTCCGTCTTCGTCATTATATGCCATATAGCCCGAACCTAAAAGTATAACAATATAAGACAAGTGTATTATCATGACGTTATAAAAATCCTAGTTTGATCCGTGTAAATGATTATTACGTCTATAATCAATAATTGGCTGTAATATTAAGTAAACATTAAAAACTCAATTAACGTCTATATAAAAATATGCCATAGAGTATACAGATGAGTTCAAGCCTTAATGATATTAATTTCATACTAATAAAAACTTAGTGTACGTTGAAGTTTGGTGTGTATTAAAAAAAAAACTTATTTTTCTTAACGTGAACACAGAGAACGATCACGTCTATTAAACTAATATTATCTATTATATGGATATGTCAATATTGACTCCTTTAAATAATATTACAATCATGGCTAATGTTAACAATAGCTAGATAATATAGCATTTTCTATTATACGTCATTCCCCTTTAGATAGCCTCACACAATACAATATGACAAAGTTATGGACTAATAATAATAATAATATAACATCAAAGACAAAACATAAACTACAGAAACTATCGATTTCGACCGTGTCGGATCATATACATGTTGTTTAACAGGTCAATTTAAAGTTTTATTTGTATTTTGTTGAATGTATTGGCTAAACTTAAAATCAAATTATCGACTAAATTAACAATTCAAGAATATAAGTGAAATTGAGCTTTTAGTCAGTATAAGGAAAAAATGTATTCAACGTATCAAGACTCTATTGTATGACGGTTTAGTGTTACGTAAAAAGTTTACTAACAACAAGCTCGTTTCTGTTTACCACAGAGACACATGATCGTCGTCCAGCATTATATCGATTCAATGTTATTATTGCTTTGCAGGTATAATAATTTTGGGCTGTGAGGAAATTTCTTTCAATAAAATATTTCGTCCAGTAAACAGATTTATCCGGGAAAAAAACAAACCTTTTTTCAGGCTTTCGTCCAAATTAAATTACAGCTAAGTGTTGTTTTCCGTAGAACAGAGCGGTGTAATAGCTTTAGGTCGGTAATATCTACGTGCTCCAAATAAATTCTTAACATCACTGTACACCAGTATGTATCGGTTGAAAATTCGACTCGAGAGAGAAATTACTTCCAAGTGACTTGTTATGATTTGATGAGTGTCTTCAGAAGAAAATATTTATCGTGCCTAATATTTATATATAGTACATTACTTGTACGAACGTCTGCTATTCGTTTTGCTACGGTTTATCCTGTAACGGTATTTTTGTAGAGGAATTTGAGCAGTCGACGTGATGATCAATCGGACAAATTAAAAAAAAAATTTCAGCTGCAATATTGATGATTGCGTTCTCTGTGAAATGCTCTCAATATACACATATAATAATATACACTACCTGTGTATAGTGGTCCGAGTCTCGGAAGTTACAATACTAATACGAAATATCAGTTCAAGATTCTGTATAAAAATAAAATCAATAAGTAATACATAAAATCTATGACATTTCAAGAATTGTAGTAAAAAAAATGAATTGTCAAACATCACTTTCATAAAATCGTAAACAATACGATAATACAGCTAATATTGGTGACCATAAACCAACTGCATAACACATTGTAACAATCGTATTGGTATAATATTTTACATAATATATTGTTTGAATTCCAAAAATGCATCAAAGTACAGTGCATCTAAGCATTAAAACTGCCTCACTTCAACATGAACTCTACAAAGAAAACACAGAAAAAATATTTATATATTTTTTCTTACTATAAACAAGCCGCAACAATAGTGAATACCGTAATAATTTGTTTCAAATAATAGTTATAACTTTTGTTTGATTTTAAAGTAAGCGTAGCTACACGACTTTACTATAGTCGGTCGTCAAAGCCTTAACAAATAATAATAAAAAATTATGTATTTTTCATACTTTTGTAAACGTCAAAACTCTGAATTATAAATTGTACATAGGTAAAGCACGAAAACGGTCAACATAAGATGATTATATATCACGTCTATTAAATAATAAAATAAATAATCTGTGAAATTTTAAAGTTTCTGGGATTGTTAAAAAGTTGTAAAATAATGCATAAGTTCACTTTCCCGAGGGGAATCGAGTAGTAGCTGCTACGTTCATGCATGGTCGTGGTTTTTCGCAGTTTTGTGGAAAACTACTTGGGAATTCCAAATATGACCTCTGTAAAGTACCATATGTGTCCAATCTCCAATCTATATATATGTTGCGGTTCTATGTGAAACTTAAAATTATTATATACCCCCAAAGTTAAAAAAATACAAATGCCCCCGCACATAAATTTTTTATTTACAGTAAAACCGATAAAAAAAATATAATTTACGAACTCTATAAAAATGTTTGTTCCATTGGTTATCATCCTAATATGTATTTTTTTTATTTACATATTTTGTTAATATTTTAAAATTTATTGAACCTAATATTTGCCACCCTCGTGCGCAATATTGGAACGATTTCCAATATATTCAAGATACGTCCCATTATGCGAAATCAGTATTATGAAATCTACACACCTGCGGCGTAGCATGTATCTACCGAAATAGACCTATTCATGATATAAAACTCCATAAATAGATGATTTATTGGCTCCTATATGTAGGTAACAGATACGAAGAAAATTAATGGTCATTTTAATTGGTATACATTGTGAAGTTTAAATTATTATTATTGTTAGGCATACAAATATCGCAGCGTTTTACGCTTTACGTTATACTTTTAAATCATTTTTACGAAACATTAAAATAGTGTATGGCCAAATTATTATGATTAATTGTGTGCTTTGCATTTAATGGTAAAATAACGTGGTTTTTCACTGAGTAAATGAAGAGAAAAACTGAAACTTACTGTTAAATTTAATAATCTAACTAGCTCAGCTTTATACACATTAAACAGAGGATTATTTTAAATTGTTGTTTATTCGAAATGATGAAGGTACAGTGTAGTTAAGTAGCTATATGTATCGTAACAACTAAAAACAATTTACTTAATTGCTTTTTAGGAAACGATGGTGTTTTAATTGTATTAATTTTACATGGTTTTCACGGGCCAAAAGTGGATATATTTAATAGTATAACGTAGTAATGTGCATTTTATGATGTATAAATAATAATAAATAATGTGTGTGAACACCACGATATGCTGGCGAATGAATTGATGATAAAAAACCATTCCATAACGATAACAATGGATAAATATATTTTGATTTACACATTTTTAGCGGTGGTGTAGAAAATTTCACATAAAAAAAACTCACCCCATTGACCACACCGTATTACTTTATTTTATATAACACCAGAGTGCCAACCCACAAAATACGAAAACTCGAAGTTGGACCGCACTGATAACTGCACATATTACCACTTCCGTAATAATAAGTAGGTAGGTATCAAGTCTGCATAGTGTTCACGTTAAATTCTAGACAAAAGGTTTGAACTGTATATTTTTTTACGCTGTACAGCATCTTTTATTTACGCCTCGTTTATTGTTTGTTTTAAAGTTAGGTTTTATGGGTTGAAAATTCTATCAACTTTCGTCCATAAACACACTGCCTAGGCCGTATGGTGTACGCGTACGGTGTCTCGTGCTAGTTCACCATTCGTTCTCATACAATTCTGTTAAAAAATATCGCTTTCTAATTTCATTTTAGTGTGAGATCAATGCGTTTCAATTAGAAATCAATTATTGTCCTTAACGTGTTTGTTTAAGCTTAAACTATCGACTAAATTGATTTAAATAAACTGTGAGTGGGAATCGCACATCGTCCTGACATACCATCCCTATCTTGGATCGTCTTTCCACCACTCCATCAACCTAGAAGTCCTATTACAGAGTGTCTGAAAACAATAAATTTACTACTGACTAAAAGTTTTCAAAAATCTCATGGTTAGTGTTGTAATAATATTATGAAATCGAATTTATTATTACTTCTCTAGTAACTCCGACTTACGGTCTAACAATGATATAGGAGTTGTTTGAATACTTTTTGCATATCTCTCTGTGGTCTGTCATAGATAGGGTGATTAAAATATTATGCAGACATATCGCTGGTCGGAAGCATGCAACAATTAGGTCAAATCGCACAAAACGTATACACGACATGAATAGTATAATATAATGCACGTAACTATTGTACTCGCCAAATCTACGTCTTATCTATAAATCATAAACAATATTATAGTCAAGCATAATACGTTTAGTCGTGAAACGTACGTGAAATCGAATAAATCTTTTTTTTTTTTGCAAATGGATAGTCTTGCAAGAATATTAGACACAATATTTATCACGAAACTCGACATGCGAGAAAAACTGTTTTTTAATTTGATAAATTATCGTGTGTAAAATTGCTTGTGGGAAATTCTGTGCGTGTGAAATTGTAATCCTGGAGTGATTATTAAAACAATTTTTTTTATTATTATTATTATTATTATTATTATTTCATTCGTCTCGGGGCTTAATGAGTTCGCCTTTAGTTAATTTGATATATATAATAGGGTAACACGAAAATAAAAAGAGCCGTTCATTATATTCACTACTCCATTAAAAATGTCAAACAATCTGTTTATGTGCATTTACAGCACTACTGTAACGACTATTCCTGAACTGTTTC